TACCTAATGACACCATACTCAAATCCATCCACACAAAAACAAGAAAAGTTCAACAGAGCTCATAAGGTACCATCTTAATACAGGCACAAAAGCTCATTTTACTTTATCATAATATTACACAGATAAGTAATTAGAGTGATTTTCACTGGATTGTGAAATAGCTACTTAAAAATATAAAGATAATAGACACTTGACGTAGACCTTACAATTGTTTTTTTTTGGCGGGGGAGGGGGGCTGAGGATATGACTATTAGACACAATGAAACACTGACTATCAAGTAATTGACTCACAGTTTGATGAAAATCACTAAAAACAGTATTTAAGAATTCATGTTTCTCTCTGATCAAATCATCATTACAGTARTCCAGTAATCATTTAAGATTGACTTCAGTGAATTCAGTACTATTGTACAAATTATGCCATGGGCTTGAAATATAAATCAGTTAGTTATGATTGATGCAGTACTAACAATTGATATGATTATTAACACCACACCACATGCAAGTACTAAAATGTAATGTATCTTATATTCAAGGTTACCCGTTGTTTRGTAGAAAGGACCTTTGGAGTTGTAAAAAGAAGGTTTCATGTTTTACACTCGGAAATAAGAATGACCCYTGACAGAGTGTGCACAATAATCGTTGCATGCACAGTGCTGCACAACATAGCAACAACATTGAAAGAGCCAGATCCTCCAGAAGAGTTTGATGGTCACAGACCTGTCAGAGATTATGACATGCAACATAGATATACAGGRGAAGAGAATGGAAAATCTGTAAGAGAGCATATTACAGACACATTTKTTTGAAATAAAAACTACTTATTCATTGTAAAGTTCAGCCTGGTACACACAGCATCATACTCATAATCATAAGCACATCATGAGAAATAACAGTGTTTAAATCATTTTCTTATGACTATACCTATGATTATGATGCCTTGTGACGTCTTGTGAACCATACAAAACTCGGTTATGACTATGATAATGAAGCCGTACAAGGCTCTATGTTTCATTTTCAATATGAATAATACATACAATCCAAACAGCAACTACAAACTTACTAACAACACAACACTACATGAAGTTTAATAAATATTTCAATYAGTACACAAAATGAAGGTTCAAGTTTATTTTGTGCATTATATGACAAATATATTTGTGCAATAAAATATTTATGAAATCTATTAAGTATCTATGAAATATCTATGACATATTGAGCACCAGAGTCACATGAACCAGGAAATAAAAACTTAAAAACAGAGTCCTTTATTTATGTAACTTATTTAGCTGGTAGACAAATCATT